TTACATTTATGTTATGTTCCATTATCATACCATCGGAAAAATACTATTCGTATCACTACAAACAGTAAACCATTAGATAACACAGAGTAGTCCAATGGCTGAGCGCTCATATTTTCTAATCCACTGATAATGCATAAGAGGATATCATTGACTCTTTATAGGAGCTATGGATTCCACTATCTATAAATAACGAATCTACGCATACACGAGTCATACCCCCAATGTACCGGCAAGCATACCTTTACATAATGTCAGGATGTCTCCCTTTAATACATCAAAGGATACAAGTCAAGTATACAGGTTCATCATCCATCTCAGGATTAAGATGACAACATATAATTCGTCAAAAGTGAATTTTTTTATTCAAACAGAATTATTAATTAAAACAATTCAACTTTGGTCCGATCCAATATAGATTTCACCATTAGAAACTATATCAATGTCTCCACCCATGGAGTCCCACCTCCGACGACCAAGACAAGCCGTCTCCGTTAGGAAGTAGACAACATAACAATCTTAACATGAATAAAGCGCCTAACTTTATTCCCTCGATTGTGGATCATAAGATTTAGACTATCATCTTTAGATTCTTGTCTTCCGCATGTTCTTCACATTACATGCATGACCTAAAGATTTAGAATGACAGTCTCAGACTTTCAGTTTGCTTATCATACATTCAACTATTATGAACATAAAGAGGACAATTCATAGATATATAAAATAAACAAATCTTTATTAATAGTCAAAATATCTCAAAGAATATTGTTACATTTATTCCTAAGGGCATAAACGCTAACAGAAGCGTGGTGTGGGGAGGCGGATCATGTATAACAAAAATTTTCATAAAACCTTTGAGATACTCTATAGATTATATTAATTTATGCACGAATAAATTAATCTCATTAATTCATTTATTAAGAACTCAATTAGGAAAAATACCTAGAGATCGACTCAGATGATAACTTGAGTTCTTTGATCTCGAACAATCCTTGCTCCAAAGCTTTGTGTTTAGAAAACCAATGTCTTCCACGTCAATTCCTAGAATCCACGAAGACGTGTGTGTGGGCACACATGAGACAAAACGGGTTACAATAAACACTCGAATTTTTACAAACACCAATGCATGCACGATGTAGAATTTTTGGAGAAAATTTTTTTTCCTTCCTCTCTACAAAGAGAATTTCGGCCAGCCTTAACAATTAGGGCTGAAAAATTATTTCAAAAATTGTATTCACAATTTTATATCATTCTCATATTTATACAGTAGAAGTCAAACTTCTAGAAGGAATCCAATCTCTATCTCCAAGTAAATCAAAAGACACAAATCCATAAATAAGAGTCTGTTAAGAATTCAGGATTAAGACCATCATATATATGACCATCGGTAGACTCAATTAGAATTTCTATACTTAACGGAATTATTAGAAATTCATATTGTGTCTGTGTCCTTGTTCCAAATAATCTCATTATGCGAAATACACTCATTCAATATCTCACCATATTAATAGTGCGGATAACACCGTTCCATTCTAAATGGGAATGGCATGTATTAATAATGTTTTAATTAAAGATTCTGAACTTTAATTAAAGTCATTATGAACATTACTTTTTGATTATTATCCTTAAACATTATCCTCTCGTATATAACACTTATATACAATGTTTAAGGTCACATAAATAATCACGAAATTTTTATTGATATTCATAAAATATTCATAAATATATGCACCTAAAATAATGAATAAACTCTTTTATTAAATAAATAATAAATATTCTATTACATTTTATGCTTCTAGGACACCATTCCCAACATTTATTTCTTAATTCTTACACGTGTTTCTCAACTGTTTTAAAGGATGTATTTATTATATTATTAAGATTTGTTATCTAAATTTGTTCAATTGTTAATTTATCTTTTTACTATATTATGTCGTTATGATTATGTTATTATTGATTTTGTTATTATTATTTGGATGTCATTGTTTAATATTTAAGTTATTGTTATCTAAGTATAAGTTAGGTTTATAATTTATTTATTTTGTTGTTCTGTGAAGAGTCTGTTTTTCTTAACGTTTTATTCTTCTTTGATGATGATGATGTATTTTTCTTTTATTATTGCCATATATTGGGTAACTGTTAATAATAATTTGATAGTTTTTGATGTTGCCCGAATTATTTGGGATTTATGCTATTATCTTCTTCTTCTCCAACCTTTTTTAACCTATACATGTTCATTTATTGCTTAATATTTAAGTTAATTACGTTATTGTTATTTAAATATGAGTTATATTTATAATTTATTTTTTCTCCTGTTATGTGAACAGTTTGTTTTTCCTTAAGGTTTTATTGTTCTTTGGTGATGGTTATGTATTTTCTTTTTGTTGTTGCCATATATCGAGTAACTGTTAATAATGATTTGATAATTTTTGATGTTTCTGGATTATTTGGAATTTATATTGTTATATTTTTCTTCTCCAACCTTTTCTGCACCAACACATGTTCATTTATAATTGTCTGTAAGATTAGATTAGTTATTTTTAGTTATTATTATATTATAATACTAAAGAAGATCCCGAAGTTAGTGTTCTTTGAACAGTGAGCGGTTTTTTTTTTGCTACTCAATTTCTAAAATTCCATCTGTGTACCTCCACTTGAACCGGTTTGCCCCTTATGTGGTGTGATTGTACGGTTTTGCCTTCAGATTTTTACTCCTTCATTTGTTCTTGGTTGGGCAGTTTTGGTCATTTCAGTGCAAATGAAGCTTTTAAGATTTTTTTATTTTCTATTCTCTCCGTGTTGGGTGCCATGCCCCTGAAATTTTTCTTTTTCCTTTCTTCTCTCCGTGTGGAGTTCTTCTGGTCTTTTCGGCTCTGCTGCTTTCTTTTCCTTTCATTTTCTTTCCTTTTTTGGTATTTTGCACAAATCTTTCAATAATTTAGTTGGCAGTCAAGGACATTGCTGAATCATACTTGTAGTTATTTATGATATATATTGTTAGCAATAAAAAAAAAATATATGAACCTGATTTTTGATATATGATTTTCTGATATCTTCTTTTCTGTAAATTCTGAAATTATTTTCTTTACTTATGTCCCACCTCACCCGCCTGTTTTCTTTATTCTCCTAATTTTGTTTTTTCATTTAATTACTGTTTTCATTTCTTAGTATTTTGCATAAATCCTTCAATAATTTAGTTGGCAGTCAAGGACATTGCTGAGTCATATTTCAGTTATTTGTGATATATGTTGTTAGCAATAGAAGACAAATACTTGAACTAAATATTTAATATATGATTTTTTGATTTGTTTATCTGATTTTTCCATTGTATTCCTTAATTTCTTTAGCTATGCCTCACCTTATCTATCTGTTTCCTTTTTTCTCATGTTTTTGTTTTCTTCATTTCATCACTCTTTTCATTTTTTGGTATTTTGCATAAAGTCTTCAATAATTTAGTTCACAGTCAAGGACATTGCTGAGTCATATTTCAGTTATTTATATTTATGTTTCTGTAATTGCTTTCTCCCACTTACTCAACTGAAGAATGTGAATATCGTCTTTTCAGTATGTACAAACAGAAAACATGTATCTGATATAATTATTAAAGTAAATGTATTGTAAACAACGTTTGTTGTTATTTCTTTTTTGGAGCAAAATTATCATATTATGTATTCATTAAATGACAATAAATTTTGTTGTATTTTGGTTAATTGGAGCAGATTTGGCGTTTTGTTTAAGACTACATTCTTGAAAAAAAAAAGCCAAGATTCATGTACGGTAGACTGTTGAATAGTGCAAACCTTTCTCAAACACAAAAGTGAGACTTTGAACGCCAAAGTTAAACTTTGCGTGTTTTATTTGTATTTTACTTAAAAATTAGATACATGTTTAATATATTTTTTTACAAAGATAATATATGAAAAACGATTAAATTTTTATTTAAATTACTAGAAAAAAAAAACAAAGTAAATTTTTATAGATTGATATAAAATTTTAAATAAATGTTTCTTTATAATTTACCATAAAATTTATATATGGATTTTTTTACCATTTAGGTAAATATAGTTATAAAAAAAGAATAATAATATGAGACAAAAAAAAAGTTGTTAGTATAAACAGTTTTATTAATATTAATTACAATATTTATTCAATATTGTTATTTAACAACTAATCTATATTTTATTATACAAGATAAATAACATTGTGTATTAACAAAATAAAAAATACTAGAAATTAAGATCTTAATAAATTCATATTCATAATTTGGGTTTAATTTATTTATATGCTCTTAAATTACGTTCATAATTTATAATCATGATTTAAAATGTGTTCCCATAATTTAGGATAGTGTTTTCTCATATAAGATAAAATAAGTGTAATAATAATGATAAATTAATAATGTAACAAAAGATTGCATTGTGTTTAGTTAAACTTTATCTTAAATGTGAACATTAATTTTTAGTTTAAATAAACATACACTTTTAAGTGATGTAAAAATAAGACAAAAAAGGTTATATTTTCATTTTATTAATTTTTTTATATTAGTTTTTACAATGTTGTTCTTATCAATAAAAGTTTTGTCTCTATTTTTTAATTAAACATAAAAAAAATATTTAGTAAACATATTTTCAGAATATATTTTAATATATGTGCAACCATAATGTTAAAAAATATATGAATATAAACATTTTCAAAATATATATTAAAAATAATTTGTTTACATAATTTAGCATAAAATGTTTACTTTAATATTATTACCCGTTCTGCACTGTTCATCCACACTCAGTTTACTGTTTGTTTTTGAAATAGTGTTCTGACGCTTTTGCCCTTGCTCTCTCTTTTGTTTCTTCGCTTTTGTGTGGGTTTTTTCGTCTTTTTCGTACTCATTTGGAAAGCTTTGGTCCTTTCTTTTCCTTTCATTTTTTCCTTTCCGTAAAAAATGCTTCCCTTCTCGATGTTTTTTTCTTCTTGCAACAGCAAAACTTCCAGTACCGCCATCGTCTCCTCCACCACCCACTCTTAGGGATTTATGCTCCCACAAAATCTCCTCCACACTCCTTCTCTGCGCTCCTAAACCCGCCGCCATCACCAGAAAACGTGCTGCCACTGGAACTAGCGACAACACTGTCGCTACGACTCTTGCTTTTGATTTCTGATTTTGGGTTTTTTCTTATAAAGGTTTTGAACATCAATTGGTTTCAGAAGCAACCAAATGGGAGCGATTCTCGAACTATTTTGCTTTAGAAGGTACGTCTCCACCATCTCTTTTCATGATGTTTTTTTTGTCTCTTTTCCCTTTTTTCTCCACTGATTGTTGTTGTTGTTGTTATTTTCTTTAACTGTTTGAATTTTTTGCTTTTTTTTTTATACAATACCCTCTTATTGTTGTGCTTTTTTCTGTTGATGACGTTTTTCAAGGGACAATTCTGCAAGTACGCTCCTTTATGTCTTAGATCCATAATCTTTCTCTCATTTTCAAAGTTTTTTTTTTCTTTTTTTAATTTGGTGTTATGTGTGTGTGGTTGCAGTAAAATCTTTTGAATTGTAGATTTCTCATTATGAATGAAACTGTCATGCGAAACGAAATATAGACACTTAGAGGAAGGGCTCGGAGAAAGAAATTGTTGTCTCCAAAGGGCATGGATGTACGCCCAATAATGGAGGTTGTCAAAGGTGCTGCTTTTGGTATATTACAGGTAAAACCTGTGCATTTGTTCATATTTTTTCTATGAGAAAAGGGTTTTAATCTATTGGGTTTCTTCACATTTATCTGATTATCTATTTGCTAGCCAAATTATTATACTTCTTATTAAGAAAAGAATTAAGGTGATGTAGAACTAAAGAGGAGAAGAAAAAGAAAGGAAGGGAAGAGATTTAGAAGAGAAATTAGGAAGAAATTTGAGAAAGGAATGAGGAAGAAGAAATCAAGAGTGGGAATAATACTGAAATTGTATTCAATAATCATCAATTACATAGCTAAGCCTATTTATAAATATACAAGGTGATTATTGTACCTATATGTATAGAATTTATGTTTGTGGGATTCATTGGCTATGTTCTGATCAATGGCCATTTGCTTTCTATATTCAAAAAAGGAAAAAGATTGTCCTTTACTTTTGTTAATGATTTATGGTTACCCTTCTGCTTGATAAGCTTAGTGGTGATTTGTGCTGTAGAATGCTTTGTTGGTTATGTAAAAAAGATTCAAGGGCTTTACGTGTTTATGCGGAATGTAATAGGGATGGGCCTGATTACTTTGATTACTATACATGTCAAGTTGTAGAATTGCTATCAGAGGATGAAAATTCTCTACCTTTGACTTTGCAACCTCCCAAGTTACCCGGAAGAGAATTTGGCGAAGCCAAGGGGGATTCTTTATTTAGTAATGCAATTGATATTAGGTTGTCGGATTTCCAAAGAGAAAGATTGAAGGCATTGCTTCAACAAAGTGCGATTGTCCTTACTGCAGAATCTGATAAGGTATTCACTTTCAATTATGTAACAAAGTGATTTATAGCTAGATCTAGGAGTGCTTAAGTTGGAATAAATCTTGAAGATGGATGAAAGTCAAATACAACTTTTTTTGTTAAATTTTTTGTTTTTTTTTTCTTGAATTGGTTTTCTGTGGTTTTCTTTAAAAAATAGGATTGGGATGATCCACTTTTTAGTGTAATTTGATGAACATATTATCAACTAGGGGAGTACTTGAACAAGAGGCATGCTTCGATGCGTTGATGTCTATTATATTAGACTCATCAACCGATCAAATGGTACATCAAATGCTTTGATCTCTATTATGTTGATCTTTTTTTTCTTTTTTATTCATTTTTTGTATTGATTGGTGCATTATGTGTAAAGTGACAATTGAAACGTTTCAGCTAACGTTATTCGAAACGCAATGTACGTTAGGCTTACTATAATTTCTGTCATGGTTAGTTTCTAAATTACAGGCTTTTTGCCCTTTATTTCTGTTTAAATGTTTGCTCTGAAATTGAAGTTACAGTTGTTTTTATAATGTTTTTGTTATGTTCGTTTTGTTGTTAGGTCGTGCCAAGGAGTATGGTTTATGTGCAAAGTGTTGTTGCTGTGTGAGCCAAACAATTGGAAGGTTTGCTTCACAAATATTGAGGTTATTTAAATTACAAGTTAGATTGTGTTGAAAAGGTTCTACTGTATGTTGAATTTTTGTTTCAACAACTGTGTTTTTCTTAACTTTCTTAGGGATTTGAGTGAAGTAGAAGCTAAGCAAAAGACGCTTGAGGAGATTTTTTTATTATTTTAAATTCTGAAATTAGGTGGAATATAAAAGCTTGGTTTTGAATTGAAAATTGATAGGATTTGTTGCTTTGTTATCAGGCTATCAAGAACGCTTGAGAAAGGGACGGGACGTCTCTACTTCGCACTGTAAGCTTCCATTTTCTGTATTTGGCGTTTACTTTCTTTCACTCTTTTTTTTTCCTAAACCAAAAGATGAGAGAAAATGAATGAGAGAACGAATCTGATTGTTGGGGAATTATTTTTCTGTTCATTTGTCTTGTTTTAGAAGTTCTCATTGATGAATTATATGTATATTGTCAGTGTATTTTGTATAAAGTTTTAGACTGTTTTAGTGCTAATCTCTTCACTTCATTTTTCTCTTCTTCTAAGTTGGCTTTTTTTGTGTGGGCAGTTGTGAATTTTCAAGCACAAATCCCTTCGCTCTTTGATTCTATTTCACTCTCACAGTCTCTCACACATTGACTCTGAGATCACTTTAGCTTCTTCAATCAGGTATTTATTTCTATATATATATATATATATACATACACATGTATATATATATATTATGTTTGGTTTTTTTGTTCTCTTTGCTTTTACTATTCAAATCAAAACTTATTTGTCTATATGGTATGTTTTTTTTTATTTACACTACATTATTATATAGATATATCTATATGTATATAGGAATTGTCTCTAATTTGGTACCGGATTGGAGCGGTATATGTATATTTCCTTTAAAAATATGTATATTTCCAAACATGTATAATGTGACGAGACACTTATAATTTATCTAAACACCTATATACATGTTAATAAAGAAAATATACATGTTTTTAGAGGAAATATACATGTTTTTAAAGAAAATATACATGTGTCGCTCTAATCCGATACTGGATTGGAAACTTTACCTATTTATATATGTATATATAAACTAGCCCTATACTATAAAAATTTTCAATTTTTTGTACAATACAACAGTATTTCCCGCAACAACGTGCGGGCTTTTGGCTAGTATAATTGATAATAAATTAAAAATATAAGAAAAAAATTAAATTATCTCTAATAAAACTATTATCATAAACCTCAATAATTACTCTTAGTTAAGATAATTACTATTACAAAGTTATATATTTACCACGTAATTAATATAAAAGTTAGATAATATTATATATTAATCAAATATAAAAAAGTAATAAATACGAAGCATAATTTAGCATAATTTGTTTTCTACTTATAAGTTAGGTTTATAATTGATAGTCATAATTCAATAAAAAATTATACAAACAAAATATAAATAATATATTTCTTAATATTTAAGTATAAAAGATACATAAATTTGAAAGTTTTATTCATAATTTTTTCATAAAACTTATTCTCATAATTTAACATAATATGTTTTTTAATATAAAATATATAAAATTAAATACAATAATAAATATCAATTAATAATATAAAAAATATGAATTGTCTTTAATAAAACTATTACCTTAAATACAAATATTAACTTTTAGCTAAATAAAATATAGTTTTTTTTTAATAATCTAACATTAAATAAAAAAAGGAAAATTTTAATTTCACTAATTTTGTCATAATTTGTTTCCTTAGTAATTTTTATTATGTTATTATCTTTAAGAATTGTTTTTTTTTTCTATTATGCTCTTTTCTTAAATATTTAAATAAATATTTGATAATTATATTTTGGGAACATATTAAAATTTTTATGTCAACATGCTATTAAAAGATACATTAATGTAAAATTAAAAAAATAGAACTTTCGTAAAATTTATTTCCATAATTTAGCATAAATTATTCAATTTTATACATATATAATAAAACTGAGTATAATAATAAAAATAGATTAATAATGTAATAAAAAATTAAAATGTTTATCTGAGCATGACATTAAAAGATATATTAATGTAAAAATTTGAAACGTTTCAATATAAAATATATAAAACCAAGTGTAATAATAAAGATCAAATAATAATATAATAAAAAATACATTATCTTTAATAAAACTCTTATCTTAAATATAAATATTAAGTTTTTGCTAAATTAAATATAGTTTTCTTCATAATATAACATTAAATAAAAAAAGTTACTTTTTTATTTGATGAATTTTTTTTTTTTGTAATTTTAATATTGTTATTATCTTTAAGAATTGCTATTTTTTTATATGGCTCTTTTGTTAAACATTTAAATAAATGTTTGATAAATATATTTTGGGAACATATTAAAATATTTATGTGAGCGTAATATTAAAAGATACATTAATGAAAAAATTCTTAGACACAAAATTCTCATAAAATTTATTTAAAAGATACTCTCACCCATCTCTTCCCAGACCAGCCGTCTTTCTCTCTCGTCCAGTTTGGTTGAATCTCTTCCGTTGACCACGCCGCTGCCGCCTTCCAATCCACCACACCGTTGCCGGACATATCTAGCCCTAACCTCTCTCCCACCCATCTCTTTCCAGACCTAGCCGCCTCTCTCTCGTCTAGGAACTATCAACGTTCTTCTGTCGACCACGACGCTGTCGCCTTCCAATCCACCACGCTGTTGCCTGGCTTTCCTGTGCCGCCACCGCCTTCCAATCCACCACGCTGTTGCCGGACTTTCCTGTGTCGCCACCACCAGAGTATGATTCCTTTTTTCTTCTTTTTCTATGAAATTTTTTTTCTTTCACAATCTGCGTTAGATTTTTTATTATCTTGACTTCAATTTCATACTAGCATTGATCTCATTTGTGGCATTGAGTGAAGAGTGGTTCTTATAGTCACATTTCTCAATATTGTAATTGGGGTGTCCACACATTAGCTAAATACTATTTTTTGTATAATGATGATCGTTATTGGTTATAAGACTAGTTGTATTGCTGATTTTATACTGATATGACTATTTCTGTTTAATGCAATACACTTTTTTCTTTTTAAAAAAACACTTAGAGCCCGTTTGGTTGGAAGATTCGTTATCTGATTCGAATCATGATTCATGGTTCGCTATAGTATTTTCTCTCACACAAAACACACATAAATCGAAAATGATTCTAATCTTATGGTTCTAATCCATGAACCAAACGGACTCTTAAGTTCTAGTATAAAATCAAGAAACTGTTAGTTTCATATACTCAAACTCAAATTATTAATTCAAAAACTTCAAAACTCAGAAGCAAGAATAAAGGATACATTCCAAACGATAGTCCCAAAACACAGAAAAAGAAGCATGAGCTAATTAAACAGCCCTACATGTATTCTTACTAAACGACATCGTCCCCCATTATTTTCTTGCCGCCATTCGTTGTCCTTCCACCATATAAAAGTTAGTACGACCCAAACGTACAGAGGAATCATACCGTCGCCCGTAGCTCAGCGCCTTGGGTTTTTCTCTGCCTTCTCTTCGTACTGCGATCATCACTTCATTTCAGGTCTGCTAGATCTCCCTCTCATTGTACATTTACGCTATACATCTCGAAGATAATTGATAGATATGTGTGTGTGTATATTTATTTTCAATTTCATCTAAATTTATATGACAATATACGCTAGGGTTTTATATTCCGAGTTCCCAAATTATACAAGAAATCATACTAAGATATTTTTGAATCATGCTCGTCAGTTTGGGGCAATCAATTCCCTAATCTTGTCTGATGTTTTGTCTGCCGCCGATAATGAGCACCCGGAATTCTTTCTCGTCGTCATTTGTTTCATTTGTCGTTATTACTATTTGCTCTGAATTAATTACCACGAATTTTTGTTGTGAATTGGAATATTATTGAAAGGTAGTTCGAATTTCTGTTATTTCATTGTGAGTTTTGTAACCTATTGAATGCTAAATCTTTTGCTTATTTGCAATTTTCTCTGAATGTTTACCTTCCTTGATGTATTTTGGTAATTTCTAGAGATTTGATCAGACTTGTTGATGTTTGTATCTTTTCGTTCTTTTGGTTTTTGGTACCTGGGAATTTTATTGGTGCAACTGATGTTATGGGAATTTTATTGGTGCAACTGATGTTATTTGCTTAATGAATCAGATGGAAGGGGGGGAAAGTATACTGGATGCCTTAAACGAAGAGGATAACTTTGAATATGATGAAGACATTGAAATGGTTGATGTTGAAGAATGGGAGTTAGTGGAGGAGAATTTGCGAAATGATTTGGGTCAAAGCAATGCTGGTGAAGTCAATGTAAATAATCAAGAATCCCAATGTAAAAATCACAAGCGGAGGGCGAACAAGAAGAAGAACAAGCGAAAGAGGAGTGGTCCAGATCCCAATGTCACGGACATAAACACGTCAGCTCTTAGATTGTATTATTAAATTTGAGTACTCGGTTTTTGTTACTAAAGTCGTCCATTCAAGGTCTAAAGTTAAGAAATGGTGCAATTGAATCTCTACATGTTTTGAGGAGTTACATTTAATAGAATGTTTGAGGAGCTCTTCCTGTGTATGACACGTTTTAAGTTTGGTCCTTTGCAGATTTGTGTTAGATACATGCAGACGACTTAAAGAGAAGAAATCATACATGGTTTATACTGCTGTTGGATGTTTGGGAATTTATGCATTATGTGACCTCATCAAGGAGGTATCAAATTCTGTCCTCAAAATACACCTTTTGATTTATACGACATGTAATGCTATAGGTTGTGTTGCTGCCATTTTCGTTTTGTTCTTTAAATAACACATTTTGACGGTTCTTTTTGGAATTGGGATGTGTTGTATGTATGTGATGTAGTCATGTGCGTTAATGTGTCTTTTCTCAAGTTCATAATGTCTACCCACCTTTCCAACTTTAATGTCTTGTTGAATAGCCTTCGATTATTGTTGAACTGACCTTTTTAGCGGGTGCATGGACTGTGGACTTTGAACTGCATCTTTTGATAAGGTTGATTTTACGAATTGATCCATCTCTCTGATCCTTGATCATCATTTAACTTCCTCTTTTCCGTTTTTTCTCTTTGGTTCGGGTGAGAGGTATATGTTTGACTTACTGCAGAAAGAATGGTTCAAAAACTTCTTATTCATCACTGAAATTTACAGGCTATAAATAGCCGAATACAAGCAGAAAGAAAACAAGAAAGAAAAATAAAAAACAGGAAAGAATAAAATACAACTAACTTTCCTAATTCACAATCGTTGACTAATCTACGCAAATGAAAGAAGGAAACAAATCTGCCTATTTACATCAAAACATAAACCGGAAAGTTGACTAGTCTTATGAGAATATTCTGTGTATTTCAACACTCCCCCTCAAGTTGGATGGAGAATATCTTCCATATACAGCTTGCTAATTAGTCTATCGAATTGTTTCTTGTGAAATCTCTTTGTGAGAACATCAGCAACTTGATCAGCCGTGGGAATGTATGTCATGCAAATATGTCCACTGTCAAGTTTCTCTTTAATAAAATGTCTATCCACTTCTACATGCTTTGTTCTATGATGTAGAACTGGATTGTGTGCAATAGAAATTGTTGCTTTATTGTCGCAATATACTTTCATAGGTGAGACCTTTGCCAGTTTCAAATCCTCCAGTAGTCTTCTAATCCAAATTACTTTACAAATTCCATGAGCAAGAGACCTAAACTCGGCTTCAGCACTACTTCTCGCAACGACATTTTGTTTCTTGCTTTGCCAAGTAACTAGGTTCCCACTAACAAAGGTACAGTAGCCCGATGTTGATCTTCTATCAGTTGAACTTCCAACCCAGTCAGCATCTGTGTAGACCTAAATTTGCAAGTGTCCCTGCCTTTTAAATAACAATCCTTTCCTAGGAGTCCCCTTTAAGTACCTTAGGATTCGATACACGGCATTAAAGTGTTCTTTCCCAGGTGAATGCATAAACTGGCTTACCAAATTTACTGCAAATGCGATATCTGGGCATGTATGAGTCAAATGTATTAGTCTTCCAACGAGTCTCTAATATTGCTCCCTGTTCACCATTTTTTCTTCTTTGGCCGGTTGTAGCTTCAAGGGGTGTCTCGGCTGCCTTGCAACCTAGCATGCCTGTTTCACTAAGTCAAGTATTTATTTGCGTTGATTGACGAATATACCTTCCTAAGACCTAGCAAACTCCATTCCAAGGAAATACTTCACCGTCCCTAAGTCTTTGATTTCAAACTCAGCTGCAAGTTTCTTCTTCAAGGTTCCCAACTCTGCATCATCATTTTCTGTTAGGATTATATCATCCACATAAACAATTAGAATAGCAATCTTATTGCCAGCTGAGTGTCTATAGAACATAGTATGATCCGCTTGACTCTGGGAGTAGCCATAACTCCTTGCAGCTTGTCCAAAACGTTCAAACCACGCTCTAGGGGATTGTTTAAGTCCATACAAAGACTTATTCAACTTACATACTTTATTCTTCCCGAATTCTTCTTCAAAACCAGGCGGTAGACTCATGAATACCTCTTCTTCTAAGTCTCCATTTAAGAATGCATTTTTTACGTCCAACTGATACAATTGCTAGTAATTATTCACGACTAGGGACAATAGAACCCGGATAGAGTTTATCTTTGCAACTGGAGCAAATGTCTCATGATAATCTATTCCATAGGTTTGTGTAAAACCCCTTCCCCACTAGTCTTGCCTTATATCTTTCTATGCTGCCATCAGCCTTACATTTTACTGTAAATACCCACTTACACCCCACAATCTTCTTATCACTAGTCAAATCAACAATCTCCCAAGTCTCATTCTTTTTGAGCCCATTCATTTCCTCCATGACTGCTAATCTCCAATTCTGATCATCTAGTGCTTCCTGGATATTTCTAGGAACAAAGAGGTGAGCGATTTTGGAAAGAAATGCTCTATGATTACAAGAAAGTCTGTGAGAGGATAAATATTTTGCAATGGGGTGATTAGTACAATTTCAGACTCCTTTCCTAATGGTAATAGGAATACTAAGATCTGACAACTCATTTGATGGTACAGAGGAATTTGAAGGAATAGGAGATGAGTTTGAAGGAAGAGGAATAGAATTACCTGAAGAATCTCTTGGACCATCACTCGGGTATGGCTGGTCTGATGCTGGAGCAGATTGGTCTTTATTACTTCTTTGAGTTTTTCTCCTAGTATAAACCAGAAGCTCAGGAGGATTTTGATTCTGTAGTATTTCTCCTTTTACATGTTAATTGTTTATGCTTGGGGATGATAGAATAGGATTTCCTTTATTTCCAAGATCCTGAACAAGTTTTTCCTGACTAGTGGTTTCAGAGGGCAAAATGATTGATTCAGAAATTATATTCGGTAATGGAGTAAAAGTATTCCAAAAATCAGTTTCTTCTCTCGCTCTCTCCCCCTGAAGATAATTTTTGCTAAAGTAGGGTCGGTCTTCCACAAAAGAAATGTCCATACTTACATAGGTCTTCCTAGTTTGAGGGTTATAACACTTATATCCCTTCTTGTTTGGAGCATAACCTATGAATACACATTTTTCAGCCCTTGGATCAAATTTTGAGTGAGTTTTGTGGGGTATGTGAACATAAACTGTATAGCCAAAGACTTTTATTGGTAAATCCGAATGTATCCTACATTCTGGAAAAATATGTATAAAGCATTCTAAAGGTGTAGTATATTTTAAGACTCAAGTAGGCATCCTATTTATTAGATATGATGCGGTTAGAACTGCCTCTCCTCACAAATATTTTGAGACATGCATAGTGAACATTATGGCATGGGCAACCTCAAGTAAATTTTATTCTTTCTTTCGGCAATCCCATTTTGTTTAGGATCTACACACGTAGATTGATGGTGAATCCCTTTTTCTTTTAAAAAATTTCCCACATATTCATTGTAGTATTCAGTTCCATTATCAGTTCTTAGGATGCTTATTTTGTTTTGAAATTGATTTTCAATCATATTGTAAATTTCCTTAAACAAATTTTCTACCTAAGATTTTTCATTCATCAAATATATCCAGCATAATCATGTATGATCATCTATAAATGTCACAAACCATTTTTTTCCTGATAAAGTTGTTACCTTTGAAGGTCTCCATACATCACTATGCACAAGATAAAATGGTTTAGAAAGTTGATAAGGCTTAGTAACATAAGTGGACCTATGACTTTTAGACAAATAACAACTTTCACAATAGAGAGATGAACAATTGAATTTTTTGAATAATTGAGGAAATAAATGTTTAAGATATCGAAAACTAGGATGTCCTAGTCTATAATGCCAAAGCATAATTTGTTCATAAACAGAATTTGAACTAATACTACTAAGACCTTGAGCCTTTTTATTACTGGAGAAATCTTCATCGAAGTATTAAAGACCATCTCTCATCCTAGCACTGTCAATCATCTTCCCCGAGTTCCAGTCCTGAAATTCACAATGAGAGTCAAAGAATACAACACGACAGTTAGAATCTTTAGATATTTTACTGACAGACAAAAGATTACAGGCAAGTTTAGGAACATGAAGTACAGACTTAAGGTCTATATTTCTTGAGAGTTTAATAGAGCCTTTCCCTGCAATAGATGAGAAACTACTGTCTGCAATTCAAATTTTTTCATTACCAGAACAAGGAAAATATATAGTGAATAAGTGTGAGACACTGGTCATGTGATCGGTAGCTCCTGAATCAATGATCCAAGTAGAAGAATTGAAACTTGTGTAATAAGAAAAAACACTAAAATCACTACCTGTTGGGCCAAGGAAACATTAGGAGTACCAGAGGATGAATTAGATTTTAGCAGTTTCAAGAGGAAATCAATTTGTTCTTTGCTGAATGTCTTGGTTGCATTGGCTGAGGAGGATGCATGGCTGGTTTTTTCCCCGGGTCTGCTGCCTTTCAAATTTGCTGGTTTTCCATGAAGCTTCCAGCAAGTTTCTCGGGTATGACGTGGTTTATTGCAATAATCACACCATGCTCGAGATTTTTCATCGAACCGCCGCTGGTATTGGCTGTATAATGACTTGTTTGCAGCTTGATTTCCGGCTGGGGTTTTGGGTTCTTCCGCAGCGAGAGCAGTTGATTCAGTTGGGTTCACAATCCCTTTTTTTCCCAACATGACATGACGCCTGGTCTCCTCCCTTCTAACTTCCGAGAATACTTCTCCAATGGAGGGAAGAGGCTTTCTTCCAAGGATTCTCCCCCTTACTTCATCTGTCAAGTAACCTATCTTTCCTCTTCCCCGGATGTACATTCGAACGGATTGGGACCAACGCAAGAAATTTCCCTCATTAAGACGAATGGTGGTGATTTGCACCGAATGGGAATCATGGTGCAACAGTCGGGTTTGATTGGTTTTTGTGGAAGAAATTGAAGAAGATTTAGAGGTTGTTTCGGAGATGGTGAATAACAAGGAGAGGAAAAGAAAAAAAAAGTGGCAGTGATCACGAAGAAAAGAAAAAAAATCAGTGATGGAGGCTGAAACGAAGAAGGCCAAATATTGGCTCTAATACCATGCAGAAAGAATGGTTCAAAAACTTCTTATTCATCACTGAAATTACAGGCTATAAATAGCTGAATACAAGCATAAAGAAAACATGAAAGAAAAATAAAAAACAGGAAAGAATAAAATACAGCTAGCTTTCCTAATTCTAACTTTTCTAATTCACAATCTTTGACTAATCTACGCAAATGAAAGAAGGAAATAAATCTGCCTATTTACATCAAACATAAACTGGAAAGTTGACTAATCTTATGAGAATATTCTGTGTATTTCAACACTTACCCCTTCCAAATTTCCAATTAAAGGTGAGAAACTGGTTGTGCTTGATGTTGGACCAGCCTAGGAGTTGAAAATGCTTATCCACTCAAATTAACCATCCGACTTTCCTAATTTCTAATGTTCAATGATTTTTCCCAACACTTGCAGATTTATCTTGTAGAAGCAAAAGCTATTTGCTCCTTCAAGTCATGTGCTATGAGTTCTGATGTTCCCTGGCTGAATCTTCACCGTTTGCTGTTTCTGTGGGTTATCATTTTCTTTACTAGCCAATTCCGTAGAAAAGTTATAGATCACATTTAGTTTTGGGAAGTTAAAGACGGGGAGAAAGAAAAGAAAAAAAGTACTTTCTGATTAATGATTGGTTCATGATTGGGTTTTAGAAGTTTTTTTGATACCGTATTGATATTCCATAATTGAGTTTTATTTGGCGGTGCTTAGCAGTTTTTGTGGTTGTCCGCTTTTCTTTAAATATGTCAGTTCTTAGAAGGGAACATATTTGTATTGAAGCATCTTGTCTACTTCTATTATATGCTGTTCCTATTTTCTAGTGTTGAGTTACTGAATACTTTTAGGCCAGATGAAGTATAATATTTTTGTCTCTCATAAACTTGTGTAGTTGGGATCTCCAGTCTCTCTCTTTTTTTTTTTTTTTTTTTGAAAGATCTAGATGCATAGTTTTTTCATTAGTGTAAATTATTTCAGGTGAAGGCAGTCCAGGCTTGTGGTGGTCAGATGACTGCAGATGGCAGACGATTTCGAACAGGCGGTGGCATATTATGGAGCATCGTCAAAGCGCGAGAACCAAAAGCGTACAAAGAGATAATGAATAAAGCAAAGGAATTTGAGGTGCATGAATAAACTTGGTTTATCTAGTCTGATGAATTGTATGTGCGTATCTAGGGGCATTGATTACTATATTCTTGTCTGTACTGTTTTTTAGTCGTTGTTTTGCTACTGAAAAATGTTCGCGTACTGCTTATATCTGTGTGATACAGTGACGGCATTTAGGCTGTATTGGTGAAAAAAAAATAAAATGTGGAAATAGTTAATTGAATTGTGATCAATGAGAATGCTTTAGAGAACTCTCACTTTCTGCTGGTTTATAGATTCGTTAAGATAACTTACGTTCTTTAGGAGTTGGCTTCTCGTCTGAAAATCAAGTTATATGATGCCACAAGTTAAATGGTTACTTTCTTTCTGATATGATTTCATTTCCCTTATAGTTTCTGTTTTCTGAATTTATTTATCCTTCCGCAGAAGCAATTTAAGCTACCATATTCGAAGCAAAATAGCTGAATACAAGCATAAAGAAAACATGAAAGAAAAATAAAAAACAGGAAAGAATAAAATACAGCTAGCTTTCCTAATTCTAACTTTTCTAATTCACAATCTTTGACTAATCTACGCAAATGAAAGAAGGAAATAAATCTGCCTATTTACATCAAACATAAACTGGAAAGTTGACTAATCTTATGAGAATATTCTGTGTATTTCAACACTTACCCCTTCCAAATTTCCAATTAAAGGTGAGAAACTGGTTGTGCTTGATGTTGGACCAGCCTAGGAGTTGAAAATGCTTATCCACTCAAATTAACCATCCGACTTTCCTAATTTCTAATGTTCAATGATTTTTCCCAACACTTGCAGATTTATCTTGTAGAAGCAAAAGCTATTTGCTCCTTCAAGTCATGTGCTATGAGTTCTGATGTTCCCTGGCTGAATCTTCACCGTTTGCTGTTTCTGTGGGTTATCATTTTCTTTACTAGCCAATTCCGTAGAAAAGTTATAGATCACATTTAGTTTTGGGAAGTTAAAGACGGGGAGAAAGAAAAGAAAAAAAGTACTTTCTGATTAATGATTGGTTCATGATTGGGTTTTAGAAGTTTTTTTGATACCGTATTGATATTCCATAATTGAGTTTTATTTGGCGGTGCTTAGCAGTTTTTGTGGTTGTCCGCTTTTCTTTAAATATGTCAGTTCTTAGAAGGGAACATATTTGTATTGAAGCATCTTGTCTACTTCTATTATATGCTGTTCCTATTTTCTAGTGTTGAGTTACTGAATACTTTTAGGCCAGATGAAGTATAATATTTTTGTCTCTCATAAACTTGTGTAGTTGGGATCTCCAGTCTCTCTTTTTTTTTTTTTTTTTTTTTGAAAGATCTAGATGCATAGTTTTTTCATTAGTGTAAATTATTTCAGGTGAAGGCAGTCCAGGCTTGTGGTGGTCAGATGACTGCAGATGGCAGACGATTTCGAACAGGCGGTGGCATATTATGGAGCATCGTCAAAGCGCGAGAACCAAAAGCGTACAAAGAGATAATGAATAAAGCAAAGGAATTTGAGGTGCATGAATAAACTTGGTTTATCTAGTCTGATGAATTGTATGTGCGTATCTAGGGGCATTGATTACTATATTCTTGTCTGTACTGTTTTTTAGTCGTTGTTTTGCTACTGAAAAATGTTCGCGTACTGCTTATATCTGTGTGATACAGTGACGGCATTTAGGCTGTATTGGTGAAAAAAAAATAAAATGTGGAAATAGTTAATTGAATTGTGATCAATGAGAATGCTTTAGAGAACTCTCACTTTCTGCTGGTTTATAGATTCGTTAAGATAACTTACGTTCTTTAGGAGTTGGCTTCTCGTCTGAAAATCAAGTTATATGATGCCACAAGTTAAATGGTTACTTTCTTTCTGATATGATTTCATTTCCCTTATAGTTTCTGTTTTCTGAATTTATTTATCCTTCCGCAGAAGCAATTTAAGCTACCATATTCGAAGCAAGCAACAGGGCAAAGAAAAGATGGCTCGTCTGAAAACGTTACTGGTGCACCCATGAACGGAACAGCATCCAATGTTTCAAATGCTCTACAAGTCCAGTCGGAAGTGCAGAATCAAAACGAGCAGTCAAACGATGAAGAGAATCGAGTGTCTGTCCGTGATAGGTTAAGGATACCTGTTTCTTATGATGATGACCTGCTTGGAGGTGATCAGAAAGATGATACAGTTTGATTCTCAAAACAAATTATTATTAATGCTTGGAGGTTTTCTAGCATTGATTTCGCTCAAGAGGGCCGAGAATAAAGAGAATTGTTATTATTTTTCGTGTAAGCAACTATTGTAAGTTTCTGAGTGTATCAATGCTATAAAATTTTGTTTGAAGAGAAATTATTCTTTTTTTTTTGGTCCTTTGTGAGTCGTTTTCAAATATTTATTCGTGAATGTTATGTCATTGCATCATCGCGAGGGAATTGTCGTTGCATGGAATATAAGATTACCTCCGCTAATCTTTTTAAATAAATGATTAATGTTCCGAGTAAGGACCGTTTAGTTTGTTGATTCGAGTTTTGATGTAATTTTATGTGAGTTTTTTACTGCAGTAAAAAAATTTAATGTGACTATTTCTGAGAGTTTTTTACTGTAACAAAACTCGAATTCTAAACTCGAATCGATGAAATGAACGGGGTTTAAGATTTTCAATTTAGTGAAATATGAATTTGTGTAGCTAGATGCAGTTATATTTGATATTACCCTCTAGTAACCAAAATGAAAAAGGCTCAAAATGATATTTTTGTGGCAAGTAGTGGTTATTGGATTATACTATTGGTTTGAACACACAAAGTAGCGTAATAAAAAAAAAAGAATCATTATTTGTGGGGTATTTCAGTACTACATCACAAAATTTTCCAGCTTTAAAGCTTAGTAAAACAACAGTAATAAAGTCGAAAACCAAAATGGTAAACCAGAGAAACTCTATTGGTTTGATTAATCTGTATATATCATATATATATATATATATTATATGAACGTTTGAGATACCTATGCTATACACACACTATTCTTTCTTTTCATTATAGAAAACGAAAAAAAAAAAAAAAACTATTATTCCTTATACTTCAAAAAAAAAAAAAAAAAAAAAAAAGGAGTGTTCACATGTATCACGTAACCTTCCCCATCTATAGCATAGTTGATGGGAGCCTTGGTACTAAAAAATCACCCAGTAAAAAAATAAACCAAAGAGAGCACAGGCAGAAGAGGAGCTTGGCCAGCCCCAGCACCTGCAGGCCAGCACAAAGCCAAGCCTTCAGTCTTCACGTACGAGATGAAAGAAGAAGCGCTCCAAAGAAACAAGCTCTAACTATCTCTTATTAACAGCAACGACATGATTTCGCTGTTTGTCTTGCAAGAAGAGGCAAACCACCGTGCAGTCATCTATCTTTGCAGCCGGGAACTTCCTCTTCCACGCAGCGTTCGCCGCCTCCACCACTGCTCTTGCTGCCGCCTCCTCGGTCGCCGCTTCCCACACGACAGCCGCAACTTGATCATTACTCATGACATCCCAAACCTATTTCATTTAATCAAAGTTCATAAGATAAAATTGTTCTATACGATAAAACTTTTTTTTTTTTAAATAAGTAACAAGTAATTGTCTTACCCCGTCTGTTGCGAGAACGAGGAATTGGTCGTTCGAAGTTAGTCGGTGAAAAGAGACATCAGGGATGGCGATAATGCCATAGTCTTTGAGAAGAAAGTCTCCGAAAGCCCGAGACATGGCTAGTCCCGGTACGTCCTCGTGTGGCAGCCAAACTCTCTGTATGTGCGGTTCGTTCTTCAGCGCTATTACCCTTCCTTTGCACGTCCGTATTCTCTCTGCTTCACCTGTGTTTCCCAAAACGACAACAAATTAATCGATTGTCCTTTGAGAAAGAAGGGAATTTCTTTTTCTTTTTTCCTTTTCTTACTTGGTAAGCCTGGCTTTAGATCAGTGGTCAACTGAACGGCCTTGATTCCATTCTCTGTTATTGTCCCCAAGACTGCCCTTGAATCTCCTAGATTTGCTATTATAAGATCATCTCCCTGTTTTATATTACCAAATTAAAAACAACATATCAATACAAGGATAATAGTACATATAGTTGTAAAATCTTGGGATTTCTCTCTCTTTTGTTTTTGTTTGTTTTTTTTTTTTTTTTTTTTTTTTTTTTTTTTTTTTTTTTTTTTTACCTGTCTTATGGCAACAACGGCGGTGGTTCCACTACAAGAGAAGTCCAAATGGTCTTGAAGCTTAATCTCCTTGTCCATCACTTTGAACGCACTAATAACAGTCTCTTTCCATTTCTCACAATCCTCTACTTCCGGCACAGATTTACCATCTGTGTCTTCGTTAAACTTTGTGATCACGGATTCCTTTTGGCTTTGCAAGAGCAACGGCAAGCGATTCCTCACCATCTCACTCACCACATGGCCATTCTTTCCATGTCCATCAAAAACCCCGCAGAAAGCCCCGTCTTTCATTCCATAGCCCTTAACAAACAAACAAACAAAATCAGAATCTCATATATATAGATTCCAATATTAGTTATAATCGTGAATAATTTCGATCCAATGGTTATATATATAGAACCTGGTATAGAATAGCGGAATCTTGGTTAAGTCCTTTGCTTCCTTCTTTGGAGTATACAGAACAGAGGCCGTGAATTCCGGTGGAATCGTTTTGGTTGTCGAAGAAGAGCACGGCGTTTCCATGGCCGTGTTCGGATTCGGCGTTGTGGATCTGATCAGAAGATGCAACGGATATGCAGATTCCCATTGTGGATCGGAAACTTGGACTTGGAATCGGAATGACACACCACTTATTTTCTTATTCTAAACCAAGACTAGTTTTATAGTCCTAGCTATCCAGCTTGGGTTTAGAATATTCAGTATGTTTTTGCCGCCAAACGCGCATGTAAAGTAAACGACATGTAATAAGATATTGCAGAGCTGAATAGGCTCCTTATGGGCTGAATTCTTGCTTAGATTACATTTACATCATTTATTTATTTTGTTTGGAAAATTATTATTTTTTTACTTTTATATTTCTTATGACGTGTTGACTGCTTATGTCCCTTGTATTAGGCTTAGGCCACCCCAGGGTTCACTTAAAGTTAAAGGGCAAATGCATAACTTGTTTATTATTTCGTACAGCTTTTTCGGTTTTGTTGTACGGTAACTTGTAACATTAGCAAATTTAGACATGGGAAAGCAAAAAAGAGAAGAGAAAAAAAAAAAAAAAAGAATGGTTACATATTGCATTGCAGGGCCTGCTCAATTCTACGTGTACCAACACAAAATCTTTAGCGAGTTCAAATGTACCAGACAAGCATATCTTATGCTGTCACATTTGAGACATTTTCTTGTATCTATCTAATCTTATTGCACTAAATTTTGTGGTAATCACTAAGTTCTAGGATTTTTTTTTTTAAAACAAAAATCTTGGAATGGGGTAACGTACATAACTTCTTATATTATGAATCCAAAATCTCTTGCATTATGAATGACTAGTTATTTTTGTCAAAGATTTTGTAATTGCGAGTATTTATCACGATTTTTTTTTTACGTTATTACTTTGCATGCTAATTCTTGAAGTATGCGGCGAGTCACAAGTTGCCCTTCGGCTTTTATCTGGAGTCATCCCATTCAAGTGGAGGAACGTAACAAAAGCAACTAGAAGTTTTGATCGCTCCAGAACGTTGACCAAACTTGGTTCACTTTAGTGAGGAAGGAGGTTTCTTATTTTTTAAGTTTTATTCATTTATTCATTATTATTTTTTGCATGTATTACCACGGGACTGGTCCCCTCTTCCCATAGAGTTGATAGTACCTCAATAATTGGACAATTTTATGAAAAGAAGCAAATTGCAGTTGGTCAACCTTTACGAAATAATATAGAATTGTCTCGCAAGCAATTGGATATATTGCAATTCCACCTTTTGAATAGATGCAATAATGCATAATAGTTCCATTAAAAAATGTATAATAATGCATTATAGTCAAGTGCAAGCGTGGATAAGCGGAGAAGGGATCCAACTTAAATAATAATAATAATAATAATAAACGTCATGCCGGTGGGATATTCATTTAGTTGATGAATCAATCAGATGACATCTCCACCCTGCAATACGTGGACTTTGCGGCCCGTCCCACCTAATGAAAGCTCCATTGACAAAATAAGTGATAATGATCATCCATGTATAAGTTGACTTTTGCTTGTTTTCGGTTCTAAAGAGAGCATCAAATTTATACATGTGTAAATACACACACATATTTTTAAGTGTTGGGTTATATTTTATCAGCAAAAAAAAATGTTTTGGGTTATATTTTGTGCCATAGAAAACTTACGATTATGACTCCATAATTGGAGGCCTCGTGTCATACGAATAATGAGCGAAGCGAGCGGGTAATAGAAACACATTTTTTCATATGTCTGGATTAAATACTTCAGAGAACGAACAAGAATACGTGTGTATGTCGCCAATTAATTGAAAATATGAGTTAGTAAACAGGCGAAATAAATATTTACATGATTAACGAATTTTGACTTTTTTAGGAGAAGGAAACTCTTGGCCCACTCCAAAGGTCAGGAGTACAGTGGAAAACTTTAGCTTTCAAAGCTTCTTCATTACCATATATAATATTGTAATGTGTTAGAAATTAGTGAGAGAAGTCGGCAAATTACTCTGTACTTGTACTTTTAGAGTGTAATTTGAGTGTAATTTTTGAGTTAAATTTGAGTTATAATTTGAGTTAAAATTGTAATTTGAGTTTGTGTTTGGTTGTATACATTTAAGTTATGTTCTGAGATAAAAATCTTTTTGAGTTTGTGTTTGAGTGAGTTAAAACTTAAATTTGTATTTAGATAGTATTTTAATAAAAACTCAATGGTAATGAAAAATTTTAATAGGGTATATGGGTGGGGTTTTATTCGTCTTTTCGTTGTCAACGCATAGAAAAAAATCGTCTCAATCAAGATTAAAACGAAAAAGTTATAGCACTTTTAAGAATAGAAAAAATATTATTTATTAATTTGAGTTCAAGTTTCTGAACTCGAGTTGAAGGGAAAACTTAAACTCGAGTTTTAGTCCAAAACTCAAGTTCAAACTTAAAAGAACATGAACTTGAATAAAGTTAGAACTCGAGTTATATTTTTTTGAGTTTTTGAGGCTGTTGAACACACCCTCGAGTTTCTGAACCAAAAACAAAAGAGCTTTGTCATACTCATAGCTTTTCAATCAGTGTGAACAAAAAAAAAGTAGGCAAATATATCTTGCATGTCCATGTTGGTGTACACTAGTGTTGATAGTAAAATTTTTTCAATAAGATTACGTCAGATTATCTCTCGGTAGTCAGTCAGGTTATCGGTCAAAACTGGTTATATTATCAAGAAAGGGCAATTGGTTGTACTTGTCTTCAATGTATTTTGAAGTGGTATGGATCTGTTGTTAAATGAAAAGAACACACGAGATTATAGTGGTTCACTCTATAATAAAAGAGCTACATCCACTTGTTATTGTATTTTCCTTTCTATCTTCCTTCAAAGGTTACAAAATCAACCTCCCTTTTTTCTCTGGGGCTTTACCCCTTTTATATCTCACAGATTACATATGGGGCGGACTGTGATAGGGGGTTCTCTAATAGTTTCTCTCGAGTAGCCTATTATCCTACCTGATCGTAGCCTCTCTATACCTTTTGGGCTGTTCACTCACACACTTTGTCCATTATTGCGGTGTTTACGGTAAAAAAAAAATTGCACGTTTTAATAGAACGTGGTGTAAAAACGTGGAGCAAAAATGTGGTGCAAAATGTGGTGGAGTAGTGATTTAAAAAAAAATGATGGTGCATAATGTGGTGGGTGCAAAACGTGGGGTAGTGAAAAAACTGTTAGGGGGCGTTTGGTATGCAGGAATCAGTAGGAATCATATTCTCAGGAAAGTGATGGAAGGTAATATGATTCCTAAGAATAATACATTATTGTGTTTGGTTTCATACATTAATCTTTCTCAAATTCTTAAGAATATTACATTACTGTATTTGGTTGTGCATGAGAATGTTATAAATTTAAAAAAATATATTTTTAAATGAATAATAATAATAATAATAATAATAATAATAATAATTATTATTATTATTATTACTATA